AAATAAATGTCAATCCAAAATTTATTACCTAGCTGTCAATAAGTTTGAATTGCAAAGTACAACCAAAAGAAATTTCTTGTGGTACCAACCTTTAAACTTCAGATAGAAAATAAATATAAATTTGATTTTTTCCCTTAGCATTATTATTACTGTTTATGTACATTTTGATACATATTTGATATATATTATTTTGATACATAATTTTTTTTTTCCAGTTGAGTTTGAACATGCGCTCTAATAATATATTGAAATTTTGTTAAAAATATGTTCTGGTCCATCAGCTGCTTTCAGACTGTGCATTTGGCCCATATGCATTTTGAGTTTAACCCTTTGAAAGGCGGTGGTCGCGCCCTGAAACCACCAATTTTCGAAATTTTTTCCGCTCTTGTTTCCAAACTGTTTGAGTGAAAACCAATTGATTAATTATCTTTTACCTCTAAATAACGCAAAATTAATGCAGAACTATACATTTTTTAGGTCTTAGTATTTTAAATCGGATGCCTTTTAAAATTCATTTTCAGTGAGACAAAATAACTCCTTTTATTTATATTAATAACTTAAATTTAAAAAATTTTTATTGTACATCATTATTTCTATATAAAAACATAAAATGCAGCAATAATTAAACTGCATATATAACAACCTGCGTTATTTAGGGTATTTCCTTTGTAGTTTCAGGGCACGACATGCCCCACTAGAGCATTGCGTTACAATGCTTGCATTCCCCTAGAGGCTCGGTGGTCGCGCCCTGAAACCACTGCTCTTTATAGTAATGTTTGGCGCTTTGAAATAGAAATGTTTATTTTCACCCGGATATAGATAAGGGGTTTTGAAATCAATAAACAATAATTAAGTTATTGTATTACCAAACAATACATGCACCTGCCCCCATAAAATATTTTTCGTTTCCACACATTTTTCTCTGCTTTCAACATGCTTTCTCTCTATGCTAGTACTGTGATTTTCTAATTATTTTGTGTGGTTCCAAAAAATGCAAATATTTTTGAATAATTAAAAAATAGAAATCGCACAAATTAATTAAATTTAAATATTTTGCAAATATTTATTTTCTACTGTGAGATTCAAAATGCCTCGCAAAGGGTTAGAAATAGCTGATGCATTAGCGTTACTTGAAGAATTACCTTCAGATCCAGAATCAGTGGTCTCTGAGGATGAAAGTGAAGGAGAAGGAAATACTCCTTTATCTCCCTTCCCTTCCTCCTTATGGAAAACATAGAAGATGAAGTGATGATCAGTCAGAAAATGATATAAATTTACCAGGTCCTTCCAGAATGCAGATGTAACATGGAATAAAATGAGAATGTAGTGAAATCCATTCCCGAATTTCTGAGGATTATGGCCCAACTGACGAAATTACCTCTATGGAAGATGCAAAACCCATGGATATATTTATGGCTTTTATCCATCTATTATCCCAATTTCCTTTATGTAAACTGCTCAAAAAAAAAAAAAAAAAAAAAAAAAAAAAAAAAAAAAAAAAGAGACAGACCTATATCTCTCATTCTACTGGGTCGATTGACAAAATTCAAATTGCATTCTTCACGTCTCGAAAGCGCGACTTAAGATATATATTAGATTTATATATAGCTACTCTAACATAGTTATTTTGACACGAAATCAGACTTTTTCTGAATTAACATACCAATTTTTTTCTATATTTCGATTCTACGACTCAAATTATGGTTAAAAATTAAATTTTGTAAAATTTGGTGCAAAATTTACGGATAAATTTAACAATTTATGTTGGTGCTTTTTATTCAGTTTGCGATAAAATTAGTTCACTTGATGAACTTCTTAATATGTGGCAACCTATTTTCATTTCCGTGAGAGGAAAAAAAGTCACCATCGTCCTTTTTCCAAATAATATTCTTTTATATTTTTTATTATAACTTATTATTTTAGGTAATTTGTCTTTTCAATTTCATGTTAATTGTTTCAGTTGCACTTTTTTCTTCAATAACTGTTTTTTAAATTTCTGTTTACTTTCAACTGCGTAAATAAGGTGCCGCGTTTTATTTTTTTCATAGTTTTCTTTATATATTTTTCGTTAGTTTTTTAGGTAATTTGAAATTTTTTACTTTTATTTTAATTGTCGCTGATGTCTTTCTTTTAAAATTTCATTATTCCTCGAAATGGCATTTTAAATATATTTAATATCAATTTTCCAGAATTTGATTTTATTATTGAACTGCTTAGTTTGGAAGAACTAACCCAGCCTACGAAGAGTTTGAAACTGCATACTTTTAAAGAGAAAATACCGTAAACCAGTTTAACGCCTTTATGTGGCATTCAGAAAAGATATAAATAAGAGAGATGAAACCGAATTTTACTTAGTATGACTTGCATCCGCTTTTAAAAGTTTTATCATTGTGCAATTGCTTTACACAATTTTATCCACATTTGGTTTCTTAAATGTTATAATATTTTAGTCAATATTTATTTGAAGCGCAAGAATCAAATATCCTAACATTGAAAAGTTTAAATTAAAAAACTACAAAGGCAAATTTCGAAAAAATTTATTTTCTTTCTTTTTCTTAAGCTTCTGAAGTATATTAAAAGTATCCAACTTTCGAAAATTTTGTATTCTGACAATCATTTTAAATAAAGTGATCGCTTCATTTCATAAAGGCCCACAAACGGCCGAGGGTAAGCGCTGATCACTGGTAGTCGGCGAGTGCGAATCCCGCGAAGGCTGGTTGCATGGGTTTCATGGTTTTCCTGATGTACGTGTATACGAGCCAGTTTTCCTTAGAACGTCCTCCCGAAGCATCCCTACCGTTAGCAGATAGCCTCGGTGCTTTGCAGAATTAATAATCCAATCCAATCCTTAATTAATATTATGATTTGTAACTTTACTAGAATTGACTTAGAATTGAAGTGCAAATAAATAATATCGTGTGCAATCTGATTATATAAAATTAAATATTGCGTGCGTGGTTATGGCAAGCTCGAGGGCTATCTGCCTAAGGGAGGGATGCTTCTGGAGGACTTTCTAAGGGAAACTGGTCGATACGTACACACATGGGAAAACCACGAAAACGCCCATGCAGCCCCCGTTCGCGGGATTCGACTCGGACCGAACTACCAGTTCATGACTTTACCGCTCGCCGCTGTGGGCGAAAAATATTTGATTCAGAAGAAGTTTTTGAAATTTCATACTTTAAGGGATTATATAACCGTAATATTACTTATTATTATGATGATTAGGAATCATTCTTGACAATTACATTTAAATTAGAATTTTAAATTAGAATAAAGAAAATACGTACTCACAAAAAGGATTTTAGGATAAAATGAGTTGATTTTTATTTTTTACACTCTGCAGTCATTTAATAAACATCGGATCTCTTGTTAATGAATCGAATGTTGGGTGCGTTTATATAATTATTCTTACTTGTCCACGGAATCTGCTACTTATCCAGCGATTAGCTGCAGATCATTTTACATAACATTGAACTTCCATACTTAGTCTCTAGAGTTGTATATTTACATAATTTGACTTGATAAAAATGATTATTCAAATCTTATGTTTCTATAAAAAATACTGTGCGTTAAAATATGGCTGAGAGTACCAGCCGTCTTTCAGCCACTCAAGCACATTTTTTAGCAAAAATTGTGCAGTTAATTCATAAAATTCAATAAACATCAACAAAATTCTCAGTTTTAGACAATTCGATTTAAACGAAGTAAAGTGCAGACGAAAACCCGAAGGTAAATTTACGCTGACAGAATTCTCTATTTAAAAAAAAAAAAAAAAAAAAAAAAAAAAAGTAGAGAAAATTAAAAAAAATTTAAAAATTATTAAAAAATAGCTTTCATATAGTATTAATAATATTTATTACGCATCATTGAGGGAAAAAATTCATATAATTATTCACCGTAAATTTACTTGAATTTGTTAAAATAGTGTGTCAATACAGTGTAACAAAAATCCCTAGACCAATTGGCGTATTACCTCAAAAAAAGATGCCAATTTCAAAACGCGAAATATGTAAATTGTTATATATTTAGAAAATTTTGAATAAAAAATCTAATTTTTGAGAGCTGCTTAAAAATACCTACCTAAGATGATGTAAAACTTTATAGGGTATAATTAAAATTTTTTTCGAAAATTTATAAAAATTTTAAAAAGAATTTTAAAAAATAAACAAAAATGGGTAAATTTTATTGATGAACCTAAATTTCGATGTGAGAGAAAATCAAAAAGTTTAATAAAAAAAAGATTAAATAAAATATTTGCACTTCAATTACATTGAGAGCAAAATTTTGAGAGCTAAATTTAAAAAACTCGTACGATTTTTACAAAATGGTATTTGGCATAATTTGAGTAGTAGAATCGAAATATGTAAAAAATTGGGATGTTTTCAGAAAAGTCTTATTTGGTCAAAATACCTATTTAGAATAGTGCTATAGATATCTAATATATTCCTAAGTCGCGCTTTCGAGCTGAGAACGCAATTTGATTCGTGAATAGCCCCATAGAAAGGGAGATCTAGCCTGTCCATTTTTTTTTTTTTTTGAGCAGTACATTCTTATTTTTCACTGCTGCAGAAATTACATAAATTATAATTTTTTTCTGATGATATACTTTTGTAAAATAAGTAAAAATTATATTTGATGCAATTTTTAAATGCAGTTTTTTTTTTTTTTTTTTTTTTTTTTATTTGTTTTTTATTCGCAATTTGTCATTCATTGGAAATGCGTACGAAAAGTAAGTTGTTTTTTCACTAACTCCTAAGTTTCAAAGTCCTAGACGCCGCTGGGCCAGAGAAACCACACCCAGATTATGCGAAAGAATTTTTTTAAATCAATAGTTTGTCTATAGGATCATAATATTTGATTTCTAGTGTTTTTAGTTAAAAAAAATTTTAAAATAATATAGCGCATCAAAGGGTTAAGAACACAGCCTTAAAAATTGTTTTATAATTACGCACTTTATTTAAAAAAAGTTGCAAGTTATGTTAAAAAAGGAAACAAACCTAAGGAATTCTGGGTTTTTATGTGATAAGTCTTCAAGAATTTCTAAATCTTCTTCAGTTTGCTCAATCTCCATTAAGTACTGAGACAAAAATTCTGCAAATGGACCTTTACTATCAATAAGCTCTTGGAATGAACCTCTCTCAGCAATAGTTCCTTCATTCATAACATATATAACATCTGTCTGAGACAGATATGTCAAGCCATGTGTAACAAGAATTCTCGTCTGAAAGATTAAAAAGCCATTTAGTAATACATTTTCAAAACAAATAACCTGCAAAACTAAAATATAAATATTTAGATGAGCTTTGCTGTTTTCTTAATACTATTGCTACAGAAATACATTAAATCATTAATTATCTTTTTATTTTAAACCAACTCCTTCAACTGTAAATTATGAGTGTAACTACTAGTAGAGCACAAAGTAAATAATACAGAATACTCATTAAATTTTTTAAATATAAAATATAATGATATAATCAAATTTTAAATTGTATTTTCTAAACAATTAAGAAAAACAAAATTATTATACCTAGAGGTGCAGGTGAATATCAAATGGAATTTGATGGTGCATGTTTATTGTTTTCACACATTATTCTTTTTCATATTTTTTAGTGCATTCTTTTTTAGTAATGTCTACTTTTTTATTTTGAGATAACAGTTTTGGTGTAAGATTTTCATTAAACCTGCAGCAAATTCAGAACCTATCAAAATTCTGGTCTTCACATTCAGTGTAATTCTCCAGTTTTAAATTTTGACACCTTTATAAAAAGATTTTTCATTGCTTTTCTGTTAAGCAGATAAAACTATCTGAGGATTACTAAACAAATATGAAAGATTTTTTATACTTGCATATTAATGCAACCACATTGACACAATTTGGCGATTTTTTATGGATGAAAGAGAATGAAGACTTTAACTGCAAAAATTTACTGATTACATACATATTTTACATTCTAATCAGATATTTATCTCCCATATCAATCAAGAAATCTATTTACAAGCTGATTTTTATTTGTTTTGTTCTGGTGAAAATTTTATGGTGATCACTTAATCAACAGATCCTAAACAACTGTTCCCTTTAGCGATTTTGCAACAAAATACTGTATTCATGCAGAAATTTTACTACAATTTTCTCATTGCTGGAAAACTCTACAAGCACAGATTTTAAAATTAAATTTAAGGCAAAAAATATCACGAATTGTCTAAAAAAATTGTCGGAACTTGGAATACAACAAAAAGAATGCATACGAAAACAATGATACTGCTAAATTGAAGAACTTTTATGTGTATAGTTGCTATATTTTAAAAATCTGGCATCTTTTATTAAAGTGGTTGTGCTAATATGCAAGTATCAGATTTTCTGGCTAATATATTTGATTCCAAGCAGGTTGCTTTTATGTCAAGTGATGGGAATTAACTGCTTTTAGTAATTCATTTTAAAATTTAAACATTTCCTTTTGATAGAAGTTGATATTTAAAATTTTTGTACAGTGAAAAATTTTTTACATTAAAATTTTTATACAGTGAAGGTAAAGCAAAATTATGCATGTATGTATTTTATTAAATATTAATGTATGACTTGAACAAGAGAATATGTCAAAAAACATTTAAGCAAAACCTTTAGTAGTAGCACAATTTTATTCGAAAGCTGAAAATTAAATAACGAACATGCTGAAATTATTTTTTCCTCTCTGCATATGAATTATAATAAAAAATAATAATAGAAACAAAGCTAATATAATCAGGCTTTTCACAAACTTACATCAATAGCTAGCATAAAAAATGCAGTGTGATTTAATTTTTGATTATGAAAAGACTAAATAATGCATTATATAAATATAATTATTAAACATATTGCATAATAAACCTGTTCATAATTTGTATGCTTGTGATTGAATAAAATACTCAACAAAAAGAAATAAGTTATCATTATCAAAGCCGAAGATAAAAGCAGAATTTTTTCAGAAACTAAGATTGTAATTATGTTTACCTGAATAAAAACGTTTCTTAATTTCACAGTTGAAACTTATATGTAAATAACAGCATTCGTGAATTTACGATGAGATGCTCTTAATGTTAAAAATATTGATTATAATAGTAAGTTCTACTTCAGATAAAAGTTATATTTTACAAACATAAAAATTTAAAAACAACAAACTCCAGAAACTAAATCAGTGACAAAATAACTAAATAGAAAACATATTAAGTAAAATGAATAAGAGGGAATGATGTGCCTAATGCATGCCTCTTTATATAATGCAAGGTGTACGGGCATTTTATGACAAAAAATAAATAAGTTAAATAAAAAAGGGAAGGAAGAAATACAAAAATATGTACACTTTTGTATTCATTAAAGATAATTATTTCAAATCATAATACCACATTTCTTACAATATTTAATCACAGCTTTACATATTCAGAAAATGATACATAAAATGAGTTATTAATAGTTCTGAAATGAAAACCACTAAAAATTTCCTTTTTGATAAATGACATGCAACATTAAGTGAAGCAAAATCACTAGCAATTTTTCAAAATCTACTTGGTCACTTGATTCATGTCTTATAGAAAAAATATATATTTGAAAATTTTTCCTGATCCTGTTCAAGTTTGCTGAAGCTTCTTTTGTCACCAGCAAGACTAATTGGCTAAGTTAAAAAAAAAAAAAAAATTAATACTGTTTCCAAAGTTGTATATGATTGAAATATATCTGTGAATTATTTTTAAAGCTTGTAGCAGTTTTTGTGTCTGGAATTATTGAATTAGCATGGTTTTAAACTAGGATATTTCTGACTGAAATTCAGCATTATTTATAACATTCAGATATTTGACTGAATTTCTGCATCATTTACATCATTCTGATACTTGAGTGCCAAGTTTTAAAATATATCTTCTAATAATTTGAATGTAATGACATTAATTTTTTCACTCAACAGAAAATGAAAAATTTCAACATATATCATTTAAGTTTTTGTATCTCTATTTCAGTAGCGAGACTGAAACATTTAACACTAACTTTAATTTCTTTTCTGAAAAAGATACATAATTACATGGGCATTTAATCTATGCTGCATAAAACCATTTAGAGCATACTGATCTATACAGAAAAAAAAATCCTGTGTAAAAAAAATTTAAGCAACTGTGGTTTTATGAAAATTTTACAATATATTTCTGCCCCAATTAATTTACTAAAGAATGAAGTCCATAACAACCCTTAATTTATATACTAAAAATCCTGTATTACAGACATAGTCTGAATATGATTTTCATGCAGAAATCATTTGGCTTTCATAAAATTAACCTTAACATCCTACTGTTAGATCAACTTCTGCTGAATGCAATGAATTTTATACCTTAGATCAACAAACAATTCCAACTAACATGCTAAATAAAACTTGTTATTTTCACTTTAAGAGGTATTCCTAACTACACAAATTTTTCTTGGCAAACTAATAAATAATAATTCTATGATCATGGTTTTCCCATCAATGCTTGTGTTTACAAGTGACTGAGTGGGTAATTGAACTATATAACTTGCCCAGATAGGGTTTATGGTGGATGGGTTGGCTGAGTATACAGGGTGTTTCAAAACTTATCATTCAGATTTTGTGGGGAGGTAGAGAAGATGTTGGGAAACTGATTTCACATAGGAAACTGTGTCCACTAATGTATGCGAGGGTGCTATGTGTACTCAACCAGTGTACAGCTCGCCTGACCACTCCTGCTGTTATCTAGTGTACAAACTGACTTACTAGTGATAAGATGAATCATTTTACATATCAAGAGCTAGCAGATATGCATCTTGCATATGAGGCAGCTGGTGAAAGCAGCCGCCAAGCTAGACAAGTTTACAAAGACCAATACCCTAACAGAAGAATATGTTTGCATGTCTGGATTGCAATCTATGCAAACGTGGTTCACTGCGCAGTAACATGCAGGATATGGAGAGAAGACGACTGACACAGACTGTTAGCATCGTAGAACAAGTCCTATAGTCCATCAAAGATAATCTGAATACCAGCACATGAGCTATTGATCAGCAGCTTGGGGTATCTCACTTAGCAGTGTGGCGGATACTGTACAAGAAAACTTACCACCTACAAAGGGTGCAGTTACTTCATCCTAATGATTATATGAAGCATGTGGAATTTGCATAATGGTTCATGCAGAAAGGTGATGTGGATCCCAGTTTTCCAGCTTCTGTCCTTTTCACAGATGAAGCTTCATTCACTCGTGAAGGTGTGTTCAATACACACAATTCACATGTGTGGGCTTGCAACAACTCACATGGTATGAGAAATCCTGCTGCGCAACATCGTTTTGCCACAAATATGTGGGCTGGAATCATTGGTGACTGTTTGTTGGGACCTTTCTTGGCTACTTCCCTGACTGGCCAGAAATACCTAATCTTTCTCGAGACAGTGTTTCCGACTTTTCTGGGTGCTCTTCCTGTGCATATCCACCAAGATATGTGGTATCAGCATGATGGGGCTCCAACCCATAGCACAACTGATGTGTGTGATAACCTGAACTGAAAATTCGAAGCTCGGTGGACCTACCATTTGGGCACCCAGGTCACCTGATATACCACCTGTGGATTTCTTTTTGTGGGAAGCCATGAAAGAGCATGTGTACGAGACTCCCATCAATAGTGAAATGGACCTTGTTGCATGAATAGTGGCCACCGCATGAACTGTCCATGATATGCTAGGCTTTCTTGAAAATATTTGGCAGTCAATGCAAACAGAGCTGTGAATCCTGCATTCGTGTAAATGGTCGCAGTTTTGGAGCACCTAATGTGAACCTTTACTTTACGTTGTTGGAATAAAGATCACATTGTTACCACTAAACTGTACTGTTTAATTGTGTTAACTTTACTTGTCCATTTTGTTCATGTAGATGACATTTGCGGACATACTTTTCTGTGTGAAATCTATTTTCTGATGTCTTCCCTACCTCTACATGAAATCTGAACGATACATTTTGAAACACTCTGCATATTTAAGCTTTTTTCCATATGTAACTTGAATACAAGACTAGTATCTCTTAAATTAATCTCTTAGGATCGTATGTTTCTTTGCTTATAATATCCCAAAAGAAAGCATTCCTCCTTAAGCAAACAGCCTTGCATGCTTTATCATGATAAATTAATTAATGAATCAGACTTCACACATCTTTCATCCGTCAAATTAATGCTTATTACAAGAAAGTCTTATTTGAGTATGAGCAGAATGTCAATCTCTAAAATGCCAGCTAATACAATATATACCAACACACTTTAATTTAAAAATGGCAGTATTTTCATATGTTGTTATTCTCATCATATTCCTACAATTTAAGACCAGTTTTCAAATGAATAAGATTTAATGTTGCATCATGGCTTATCTTTATTTCTATGCTATTTCATCAATCATTTCAAGGGGCTTAAATAATTTAAATTTCATAAATATGATAGATATTCGATACTAATTTGTGTTCACAACAGTAAACAAGTTTGCCATTTGTTCTAACTGGCTTCGATGTTCGATTTCACCTTTTTAAAATTTTAAATCAACAGTGTTATTGCATTAATTCGTTTCTCTTTCTTCACATTTTAGTCTTTCCAAAATTTTGCATTTAAAAAAATTTCATAAAACGAGAATCATATTTTTTAAAATATACTTTTAAATTAGTTACATTATGATCAATGAAATAAAATTAAATTTAAAAACATGTTCTTTTATATCAGTATTAGTTGTAATAGAATTATTCAACATGGTTTGCCTTTCAGGAAAAAAATTCAAAACTTTAAACCCCCTTTCTTATTTCTTTGATACCATACATTTCATTTTACTGTTTCATTATAAATAACAGTAATACTCAGGGGGAAAAAAAAGAAGAAGAGAGAGAGAGTGAGAGAAGGAAGTCATTTCCTACTTTACATGTTTGCATCTAGTCTTGAATAAAATAGAGTAATGCATTTATTAGTTTTATCAGTCCAGCATAATGCATAACTGCTCCAGAAATAACTTAACAAAGGCAGCAACGTTTCAGCACTAATCAATACAGTAAAGAAAACCCTCAACACAAATTTTACAGAAACACAAATTTAAACTCATTTAAAAACAAATTTTACAGAAAAATGAAGCAAATGCATTGTATTTTGTTAAATTTCATTTCAAACATCCTTGTTGGTTGATTGCAATAAAAAGGAAGGTGTACAACTAGATGTTGTAGTAGTCCCACATAAAAAGTTTCAATGTTCTATGGCTAATTGTTTTTGAATTATACGAGATACATACATACAGACGTCATGAAAAAATTTTTTCTGAATACATATACAAATTTTCCTATCCATTTTGGAAACAAAGTCTGTACATACAGACATCATACAAAAAATCATCCAAATGAGTACGGGAGTAATCAAAATGGATATTTTCATCAAAGTATGATACCAGAAATTTTTTGCGATTAACAATATTCTATATGTACAGACTTTATTTATACAAAATAATAATTAAATCACAATGAAAAATAATTAGGCCATTATATAAATCAACAAATTTAAAACAAGAGACCTTATTATTGAGTAGTCCATTTGGCCCAATAACTTTCTCAAAAATGTGTTTTCCTACATGTGAGTCAACAGCAGATAATGGATCATCTAGAAAATATATATCAGCAGCTGAGTAAACTGCTCTGGCAAGACTAACTCTCTGTTTCTGTCCTCCACTGAGATTGATACCCTAAAATAAAAGCATTTTTAATTAATAATATAAATAAGCTTGCATACACACAGAAAATTTACAAGAAATATAGAGTAAAATTTATCCCTTTTCTTGAAAAATGTTATTCATTACATAAATCAAATGGCTCCTGATGAGAAACTTATCTTGAATATTTATCTACATGAAAATTAAATATCACCGATTACTCCAAAATTTAAGAATAATCTTAATAAATGTTGATTCAGAAGTCAAACAACAAAAATCAGCATTAATTCACAAAATTTTCACAGGACTTTTTTCGATGGTTTTACCGAACCATCATCTTCAGCTTCAAAACCGCAATGAACCAGATAGGAAATAATGATTAGATAAGATAAGAAAGCCTGGACAAGAATAAGCAAGTGGCGCCATCTGTTGGCGAAACCAGAACTAAAACATAATTTCTCTAAAAGCCGAAGGCAAATTTGGATTGGAATTAGGATCGTTAACTAGAACAGAAAGATTTTTTGAATGTGAAATGCCTCTAGAAAATCCAGTTCTCCAATGGAAGATGTTTTTTGAATAATTTTGGCAGCAGAAAAATTGAAAGTGTGATTTTCGGACCAACAATGTTGAGCAACAGAAGACTCTGTGTTTCCTTTTTTCTAACATATGCCTCATGTTCTTTGACGCGAAATTTTAAGGCTCTTTAGTTTGGCCAATGTAAATTAAACCACACTGGCAAGGAATCCTATAAATACCCCAGGAATTCATATCCGGAATGGGGTCCTTGAGTATAGAAGTTGGAATTTTATTGATGGGAGAATAAAAACAACCCGAAAGTTAAATTTCTGCAAAATATGTGCAACTTATAGCTAATTGATGGAAAGAAGGGAAGGAAACAACAGAATTTTTAAATCTCCTAAAATAAGAGTGTGGCTTTTAGTGTGTTGAGATGAGAATTTTTTAACTGCTTGATTAATAATGTTGGGTGAAAAGCTCCTGTGAATAGCTACTTGCTTTTAAATAATTTAGTTCTTCATCAAGAGACAGTTCGGAAGAGAAAACTTGAAGTGCACGGAAAACATAGGAATAAAGTGAAGCTAACGTTTTGCTTAGTTGGATGACATGATTTGAATTGTGGTGGAAGGCAAACCGATGAAGGTTACGGTAAACTGTAGTACTGAAGTGGATGTTACGTGTGACCAGAATGCGAGAACGGAAGAGAATTGCAAGTCTCAAGTTCAAAAGTGAACGAATAGCAGGATCAATAGAATTCAT